GGCGGGCGCTGCGCGACACCAAGGACCTCCACCGCGCCTGGCTGCACACGGACCGCCCCTACCGCGAGGAGGACCTCCCCCGCAGCATCAACCTCGAGGGCGACGCGGAGCGCCACGCGCACCACGGCGGCGCGGCCGAGCGGCGCCACGGCGGCGCCAAGGGCGGCGGCGACGCGGGCGCGGCGGAGCTGGAGGTGGTGCGGCTCAACGGGCGCGCGGCGCGGGTCAACGGGGCGGTGTCCAACGGGAAGCACAAGAACGCCATCCAGCGGGCCATCGAGATCGAGGCCAACACGGAGGCCGACGAGCTGGGCGTCGTCGCCTTGTGAGGCGGGCGGCGAGGAAGGCCTCTGGCCGGCGCCCTCCCGCGCGCGCCGCGGCGGCCCGCGCCGCGCGCCGCGCGGCCTTCTCACATGTGCGCAGGGGGCGCGCCAAATAAACTTCAGCAGCTCTCGCGCCCCGCTCGCTCCTTCGTACGCGCAGCACATTCCCTGGCTGCTTCCCAGCCCCCCGCGCGCCTTCTATGCACCCAGCCCCCAGCCTCCGCGTGCAAGAGAGACCTCCCAAATCGACGAGGCGCCCGCCACGCACGGCCCAGCTCGCGGCGCCGCCCTGAGCGGCCCTGGAGGGCGGCGCTGATTCCTGCGCCAGGGGCCCGTGCCGGCGTCGCGCGTAGCAACGCGCGCGCATGACCCCCTGACAAATCAAGAGCCCTGCAAGAGGGGCCATAAGAAGGGCGCCCCACGCCGGCGCCGGCGCCAACGCCAACGGCGGCCGTCCGTGCGCATGCCCCTGGAATGAATCCCAAGCACTGGTTCCGGGCCTTGTTTTGCGAGCGAGGGGCCCTCGTTTCATTTCGACTCCCTGCGCTCTGCGCTCTGCACTGGGCGGGTGCTGCAACGTGCGCGGCGGCTTTGCGCGCAATGGGCGGCTGCAGGGGCGGTGGCGGCACTGCACGGGGCGAGCAGCGGCCTTCCCCCCTCCCCTCCATACCCAACACCACCCGCTCGCACAAAGTGGCGGCGGCGCGTTTGTGGGGAGGCGGCCTCTCGTCTGGCCCAACCACCGCCGGCCCTGCAGCTGCGCACCCCCTGGGCCCTTCTTGCAGGCTGTTGAAACAGGCGCCTGCGAACCAGGTGCCGTTTTTCCTGCTGACCGCCCGACTTCTAAGCCAGGTCTTGATCAAGCCCTGATTGCTGCCCATCGACCGCGATGCAAATCACATTTGCCAAGTGCTGCGGCGCGGCTTTTTTCGGCCGTGCCTTCTCATCTATGCCAAGAACCACAAGAGATGCGGGCCTAGAAGGCAGGCGTGCCGCACGACGATTACCAAGGCTGGGCGGCGCATCTATGCCGCCCGCCGGCCGACTGCACGCCGCTTGACCGTGCGCGCCGCCCATCTGCATGCGGCCCCGCCCGCGGCAGTCGCGCCAACACCCATCCTCTCCTTGCCCGGAGTGGGCGGGGGCCCGCGCTCTCCCAGGTTGCATGGCGGTTCTTGCACCCGTGCAATGAGGGGTGCGCCTGCCCCCACCCAACGACTGCCTTCTTTTGATTGATGTGTACCACCGATGCCATGGCCGTAAGAAACACACCATGTAATGCTTTGTTGGCTCGGCCGTGTCACATGGGGAGTGCCAGGCGGCGGGAAAGCTGCAGACGAGGCTCTGGCGCTGTGACCAGGGAGTGGCTGTCTGCTGTAATAACAACGGGCAGCTGCCATGAGGCTGGTGAAGGGTGGCAGGTGGTGAGGCTGCGAGTGTGAAATTGAGCTGTGTGTTGTGTGATGAATACGCACTTGCGTGTGCGCATACACACACATGCGCACGTACATGTGCACACACACACACGCAGGTGCATGCACACGCATACATGCGCACACACGCATGCACGCACGCACATACATGCACACGCATACATGCACACACACGCATACACGTGCGCACATACATGCACACACTTGCACATGCACAAGCAAGCACGCGCGCGCGAGCACGCACACACCGCTGCCCACACCTCATGCACACATGCGAAACTTGACAGCAGGCTGGCTGCCCTTACTCACCTCTATACAAACCGCCAGCCACGTGGCACATCGTTTCGATCTGACATGGCGGATACATTATTGGTTGTGGTGATTGCTGCTTTGCAGCAGCAGTGCTTGCTTTCCCAATGTGGAATGTCCAGGCTGATGGCCTTTACCGTCTGACTGACAGAGAGCATCAGCATCAGCCAGAGCACACCGGCACTTTGCACCTGCACCTATGCCCAGCATTACGGACTGCTGGACTAACCGGCTGATTGAATCACTGAAAGCTGAAACATCAAGACAACAAACGGCCTGCGCTCTTACAATACTTTGTCTCCGACGTTGGGGAGTTTTTAAGATGCAGGCTCTGAGGCCACCAATCGCTGGCAATGGCCACCAATTCAGGCGGGCCGTTGACTGACTACAAAGTAGGAGCCCCCGCCGCGGCCCCGCCGTCGAAAGCAGACAGTACGAAGTAGCGCCTAGGGGCACTCTCACGCCGGAGCCGGCCGCTCATTGCCGTGAGCGGGCCCAGTCAAGTCCAGGTCAGCACACACGCGCCACAGGACAGTCGCAGGGCACGATGGGTCGGGAAAAACGATGGAAAGAAGCCCGCCCTGGCGAGCGTCCTGGCTTGATTTGCTCGCCTAGCGTGCTGCTGGGCCACGGTTGTGGGCGCATGTGCGGGGCACCGATCCCCCGCGCCCTGCTGCCACAAATGGCGGCAGGCGGGAGCTGCGTGGGCACGGCAATGTGCGGCACCGCGCCCGCACCACACAAGTCCGACCACGAGGGAAAAACGCACAGCGCTTCGGCCAGGTGGAGGAAGTGATTGGTATCTCTCCTGCCCTTACAAGTCGGCCACGTCTATCGGAAAGAAAAGAAAGAAGGAACAAGCCCCGCAGGCACGCCCCGCACCCGACAGGGCCCCGCTGAGCGGCGCAAACGGGGCTGTGCCCGTGGGGCTCCCGGCGGCGCCGCCGTTTCAGCGCCGCTCCTTCCGGCCGACAAACACCATCGCGCTATAGGTGCAGATGTGCACGATAACCCAGTACGAGAAGAGGATCCCGACGGTCTTGGCAAACGGCCGGTGGAACTGGTAGTAGTCCAGCAGCGCGACTGTGTCCGCGACGCAGTCCGCCCCGGGGTTGGTCAGCGCGCCGCTGACCGCCGACATGTTGAGGAACCGGCTGTTGGGCAGCAGCTGCTTCAGGAACGTGACGCCTGCGGGGTCGACGCCGCCGGAGCAGTCGAACTTGGCGCCGCCGAACTCGATGCGGGCGAGGCCCTCAAATGAGTAGTAGAGGGCGCTGAACCAGCGCAGCACGGTGAGCCACTTGAAGTTGATGTCGGTGAAGGGCATGAAGAAGTTGCTCATGAGCATCTGGACGGTGGACCAGAGGATGCTGAACATGAACGCAGCGTCCTGGTTGGGCGCCAGCAGCGCGCAGCAGTGCAGCACCTAGGGG